TATCATTGTCCGATACTCAGTGAGTGTGTTTGAAGCCCCTTCCCTGAGCGCCTGAAGCACTGGCAGCCGCAGGAGATGCGAGCGCCCCGTGCAGGCCTGGGTTGTCTGGCAGCGCCACGGGCGGGGTCGACCTTAGGGTTGCATTTCAACTCTGAGCAACAAAACCCCAAATGAAGGAGGTGTGGCAGGTGTGGGAGTTTCCTCTCCTGCGAGAATCTGGGTGGCTGGGTGGGTGGCCTTACTGCTCTCTGGGCGCAGCCCTTGTCCTGGTGGTCTGGGCTGGTGCTAGTGGGTCCATCCATATTCCAAGCTGCAGGAAGCGAGAAGAGACAGCAAACAAAGGGCATAGGGTGCTGCCTTAAGGAAGATTCCAGAAAGCTGTGAACGTCTCTGCCTACAGTGCAAGGGCTGCCCAGTAGGTAAGCCAAAGGTGGGGGCTGACAGGGCTCCCCTCCAGCTCTGGGAGCCCTGCAGATGGGGCCTCGCTGTGCCCTTGCCCATGCGGATTGTGAATCCAGACAGAGTGGGAGGCAGCGGGCAGGGGTGGGGACATCACCAGAGGAGCACGGTCCTGGGGTGAGGACCTGGGGGCTGTGGCACGTCCCATTCCTTGACGGGATCCTGGGCCCCTGCAGTATTTCAGGGGGATACCAATGCCAGCTTTGCTCCCAGGGCACGGCACAGCCCCCACCACCGCCACATCCTTGGGTCTTGTGTCCACAGAGAACCTTGGCCTGTTTCTCCAGGTTTGCGTGGAATTGGGAGCTCGCTGCCCAGCAGGAACAGGTGTCCCTGGGTACCTTCTGTCTAAGAGGCTCAGTCTGGCCTCTGCCTCTCCAGACGTCTGACCCGGCCAGGGCCCTTGCACAAAAACAAAAGCCTCTGAAACGGACACAGGTAACTTTGTTTTTTCCTAAGGCAAGAACTTGCCTGCAGGCCTATGCCAAGGGCCGTCACAGGTGTGCACGTGCACTGAGGGAGCGCAGGGCCAGTCCGATCCTGGGCAGCACACGCCAGGTGTCATTATTAAATATGAGAAATTTAGCCTTGTCACCTCCTGTGGGATGAGGCTGCACTGCCCCCAGCAGGCCCAGTGTCAGCCCCAAGGGCACAGATGTGTGTCACACGCCTGTGTGGCTCGAGGGCCTGCTGGAGGGCAGCTGCCCTTGATGGTGGGAGAGTGTTGTGTGGAGATTCCTTAAGAACCAGGAGGCCACTAAGTGACCAGATGTCACCCTGGCCCCATTCCTGGGAGGGACAGGCCTCTGGTCCTCTCCTTTCTTGGGGGTTGGGCAGTGATTCCTAGTATCGCTGTTGACTCTGAGATTAAAGTCCATTTTGACTAAGGAGACTGGTTACCTGGAGAAGGTAGCTTGGGGTCCCCACCCCCTCCCTCGGCCTTGCGCTCTGGTGTTTAATTTTATGGCCTGAGACGGCAGCACCCAAAATGGGTGACCTTTGTTTTTCTGATGTTGCTCAGAAAAACAAACCTCCTCCAGGCAGGGCAGGGTCTGTATGGGGGCTGGGGAATGGAGGTAGCACCCACTGGGTGCCCAGCCACGCTGGTCCTACTCTCAGGACAACCCTGGGATCGGGGAGGGTGAAGAAGAGCTCAGGCCCTGCTACCGCCAGTGCTGGGTAGAAAAGGCTAGAAACCAGGTCATTCTGGCCCTAAAAGCCGCGCCCCTGTCAAGAGCGTCCCTGCCAGGATAGCTCTCTGAGGGTCACAGCTAATCAAGGTGACATCGTCACTTACTGAACAAGTGTGCTACATTCGCCCGGAGCCCTCAAAGAGCCCAGTGAGGAAGAGCTGCTGCTGTCCCATTTTCTGGATAAGGAAACTGATACTCAGAGAGCCAAGTGGCCTACCATTACCCAGGTCACACATGGCTCCCCTACGGGTTCAGGCAGGGGTAAGCCTCACGCCTCTCTGTCTCCTGTCCCATACTGGGAAGACCCGCCTTGCAGAGCCAACTCCCACTTGAGGCTCCGGACAGAGCGGGTTGGGCAGAGTGAGGTCTCCAGGGGACTCCCCAAATTGCTTTCGGCCCTGGAATCCTGCAGGGGCCCAGACCAGCAGGACAGACACATGGGGATAGTGGAAGGACCCTGTCGGGAGTCACCCTGCCCAGACCCTGGTGTGGCAGAGAGCACCCAGGGAGTCGTGCCATAAGACTGGGCTTCAAACCACTTGTCCTCTGATTTCAGAGGCGTCACTTCTCTGTGTGCCTAAGTCTCCTCATCAATAAAATGGGCCAATAAGCACTCCTCACATGGTCAGACCTCGAGCTGTAAGGGAAAGGACGGTGTGGAGGTGAGAGGCCCTTGCCTCTCTTCCTTCACACTGGTGGCCAGGGCATGGACGTGGTGGGAGCTCAGGGGTAGGAGCCCCCGGGGAGCATGAGCCTTGAAGCAGCAGCAGACATGAGAGGGAGGGAAAAATGCCGCACGCCCGCAGGGACAGCGAGCACAGGCAGCACAGAGCCAGGCCACACCGTGGCCCCCACAGGGAGGACCAGCAACAGGGCCACCTGCTTCTCCACCAGTGACCACCCGCCCTGGCCTCAGGCTTCTCCCTGGCTTCCAGACCCAGCCCTGCCCACTCCCCTCCTGAGATGCCCACAGCCCCTCTACACGAGCTCGCACACCTTCCTTCTGAAACCACGCGTTCCTGGGGGTCTGTGGTGAATGGGGTCGAGCAGGTGCAACCCTCAAGAGGACCAGGGCCAGGTGGGATGTTGAGACCACGGGCAGGGGAGGGCAGGGCGGACCAGGCGGGCCTTAAACCCACTCCACGGCGGGCTGTGCGCCCAGCAGGTGCCGTGAGCACGAGGGGCATAGGGACCAGACCCCGCCTCCCAGGCCCAGCCCAGGGGGACAGTCTGAGGCACAAATGGTGAAGGCCCCTCACCCAGTTCAATTCAGGCTACCCTCTCCTCCTCTTTACAGCCCAATAAGGACATTCTCAGTCCAGATCTGAGTTCCCCTTGGCTTTACTGGATACCTGCCAGTGCCCAGCTCTCCTTCTGGTCCCAACGTGAGTCACTCACACGCCCGCTGGTCTCAGGGGCAGGCACACAGGCAGCCTCATGTCCCCTGCCCCCGGCTCTTGCCAAAGAGGGGCAGACCCTGGAGCCATTACCTACAAAGGGGACAAATCCCAGAAGTCCCTTCCCCTCTTCAGGCATTAACGTCCACATTGCACGATGGAGGCTGGGCTAGAGGAGCTCAGGGGGTCCCAAGGGACCCGGGCCCTGACTTAGCCTCTGACCCTTAGTCCCCAGGCCTCAGTTTCCCGCTGGTGGGGCTGCCTGGAGCTGATGAGAGTGACGTACTAGCACCTAGATGGTCCCAACGGGGAGGGAACCAAGATGCTGCCATCACATGTGGGTGCCACAGCCATGGGCGTCTCCCCGAGGCCACAGGGTGGAGTGGACACACAGGAGGCACCGTGGGCGGCCTGCAGGCCGCCGCCTCCTCCACGTGCAGGCGGGAAAGGCTCTTCTCCACCCTGTCCCCTCCTCCCTTGGGGCAGAGTTTCTAACATCTTCTAACGCCCCCAGCCATCCTGGAGACCACAGGGGAGCAGGGAGTCCTTCCAGGAGAGGAAGGCTAGACCCTGCCGCTCCCCCCTCAGCCTGCTGTGTCCCTGCGGACACATGCCTGTCAGAGCTGGGGTCCCGCCTGCCTCCCACCCCAGGGCCCTTGCCCGTGTAGTCCCCTCAGTCCTGACGCCACCGCAGTGCACCTGCTCCAGAGCTGGCTCCTCCCTCGATGCCCCGCCCCAGATGTCTCCGACTTTTGCTGCCTTCAGGCCACGCCCCCAGCACCCTCCCTCAGCTGACACCTGTACTTTTCCTTCCCCAGCAAGATGAAATCTGAGTCAGGGATCCTGTCTTCAACATCCCCACTACGGGTGACAGAGCATAGCACAGTGGGGCTCCCGAGACCCAGGGTGGAAAGAACTTTGCAAACCCCAGGGCAGGACGACCGTGGGGTGCCCCAGTTCCTACAGGGAGAGGCTGCTAGGAAGACTGGCTCAGTTGGCATCAGCTGCGCTGCATGGGGGCGGGGGCGGTTTCTGTTTCTTCTGAAGAACCCTGGGCTCCTTGAGAAGAGCCATAGTCACCCTGGCCAAGCCCATGGTGGGAACATGCTCAGAAGCAGCTTGTCCTGTGCTCAGGAGGAAGCGAGCTGGGGCCTGGGTGGTCAGGGAGGGCTTCCTGGAAGAAGTGGCTCTGGGTGTGGCCTTTTGGTGTCCTAGTCATGCTGATTCTGCAGTGGGTCCCCAGGGCCCTGGGTGTCTACACACTCAGTCAACCCTGGGACCACTTCCAAGCCTATGATCTTGGTGGGGACCAGGCCCATCTGCGGTGGGAAGCGCACCCTCCCCCGCTGCAGCGGGATGGTGGGGGCCAGGCAGCAGTGACCTGGGAATTGCATGGCTCTGGGCTCACCCTGTGAGGTTCTGAGGGACCCGCATGGTTGGTCCCAAGGAGGGTGACAAGTTAACAGACAGAGGAGATGAAGCCAGGCTTCGAAGCTGCAGAGGGCTGGGAGTGGTTCACACCTGCAGGCCAGCTCCTGGGAGGCCAGGAGTTTGAGGCCAGCCTGGGCAAAACGGCTCCGAAGGCCCGGACCTTGGGGAGCTGAGGCATAAGGAGGCCTGGGGGGCCCTTCAGTTTTGAGGGCTGGGTGCAGATGGGTGTGAGGCAGGGTCTGCCCAGCCTGGCTGCAGGGGCAGGACAGCTTCATGGCTGGGTCAGCCCACTGGGGTGGGCAGGGGACAGGAAGGGCCTGGCTGGGAAGGAGACCAGGCAGGCTGCCCTAGGTGCTGGGAGGGAAGTTCCCTGGCCCAGTCCAGCCAAGGTGCAGCACCTCAGGTGGGCAGGAGGAGGGGCCTGGTGGGGTCTAGAAATGGCCCTGGGCCAAGGCCTGGAGCAGGAACTGAGCCCGAAAGGTGGGAGGCCTGGCTCTCCTGCTCCTGGTGCCCTTGCCGGGCACCCCCTCCCCACCACCGCCCTGCTCTATGAGCAGAGCCACGGAGGGTGTGTGCAGGGAAGGCACAGGAACCCTCATTCGAAGAGTCACTGAAAGCCCAAAGGAAATACTAACTGGATTTTAGGCACCAGGCCAGGCCAGGGGGAAGGCAACCTTTGCAAAGCGTGGAGCCAAACCCCAAGGCGGCATTGGTGGTCCCCGGGCGCAGGGAGGAGACCAGGAGCCTGCCCCACCCTCTGCCCTCCCCGGGGCAAGACGAAGCCTGCACTGGCGCTGCAGACCCACAGAGAGGACCAGAGACCACTGCAAAGCAACAGTTTATTGAGCTCTCCCAGCCCTCAGAAACCAAGCCAGTGGATTCTCGGTGCGGGCATCACAGACACGGGGGTGTGGCCAGCACTCCCCCCGTTGCCCACTGCATGACCAACCGGCAGGACAGGAAGGCTCCTTCTTGGGGACAGGCTGCCTCCCGGGCTGGGCCAGGGTCAGGACGCAGGCCCAGCCGAGCCTTGGGACCCCAGAGGTATAACAAATTCATCTGCCTTACAAAAAACAAAATCTGAAAAAACAAACACTGAGTATAAAACCTCAGCAGTGTCCCAGCACTATCTCTGAGTTTAAATATAAAAAAGGATCATCAAAAACTCCAGTTAAAAAGACAAGGAACTGCTCAGCCGCCACCTCCAGGGCGGTGGTGGGGTGGGGACCGGCCCCACCCTGGGCCCGGGCCTCACTTGAGCAGCAGGTGCAGGCCCCCGCCCAGCAGCAGCAGCACCAGCAGCAGCAGCAGCACCTGCTCCCACGCCGGGGCGGGGCACACCTGCGGGGCGAAGGGAACAGTGAGGCCAGAGCCAGCCAGACAGGCAGGGACCGCGGGTGACAAGGGGGAAGCCCGGGGAGGTGGGGGACTCGGAAGGAGGACGAGGGAGGGGGCCGGGAAAAGCTGAGACCAGAAGATGAAGAGCTGAGCTCGGGAGAGGAGAGTGGCCCTGAGAACGTGGCAGAAGAGGGGCGGCCAGCCCGGGATGCAGGTGAAGACACTGCGAACACAGGTGAGGGGACCAGCTGTCCTGGGGGAGAGCGGCGGGGAGGGGGCAGTGTGAGAAGAGGTTGGCCAGGCAAGCTGCTCCAGAAGGGAGGCACCTGTCCCGGCCAGGAATCAGGAGAGTCCCGCCTGCCGGCTGGGGCTTCCCAGACAGAGGGAGAAGCCACCCGTGCACGGCCTGTCGGTTTGTGCGCTCACGCCCGGGCGTTCCCCCATTCGTGTGCTCACACTCGGGCGTTCCCCTGTCACTCAACCGGGAGCCTCAACCCCAGAGGCCAGCGGGACGCAGCAGATGTGCAAACAGGGGAAGCAGAAGACGAAGGGAGAGGTGGAGACTGAGGCAGAGCAGAGGATGTGCCGACCAGGCAGCCGACCTGGGCAGCAGTGCGCGTCAGGTCGCGAATCGAGGCTCTTACCCAGGGCCGGGGGCTGAGCGACCTCCAGAGCCTGGCCACGTACTCCCTGAGGTTGGCGAAACCGTCGCTAAGGCTCCCGAGCACGCCCCAGCGGACCGGCTGGTCACAGGACAGCGCCAGCCCCAGGCTGCAAGACAATGGGAGGGTGAGCAGAGACAGCCTGTGTCCTAGGTGACACCATCACAGCAGTGAGGAGCAGAGGGCCTGTCCTCTCTCACCCCCACTGCCACCCTGGTCCCCCTTCCGGGGCGCCTCCACCCGAAGGCCTCTCTGCACGTGCTGTTTGTGGTCAAATTCACTCTGACTTCCTGTTGCCTCCCCGTCGTCACCGGCCCACCAAGGACTTGGCCCTGTGCTGCAGAGGTGGCCGTGTGAAAAACCAAGCCCCACTCTGCAGGACCCCGGGCAGGTCACCGCCGGCTCATTCCTCCCCGGGAGACCAGCCGAGAGGTCCTGCCTCCACGGCCCAGGATCCGGACTCACCCAGCATGTCCCTTTAAGTCAAGACCCTCTTGGAAAGGTACAGTCGTGGCTTCATACGGAAAGAGAAAGGGCCTTTGGCTCTGCCTTGTCACTGCCCAAGCCCGGGAGGGAAGGTGGCAGGGGCCAGCTCCAGGAGTGGGGCGCCAGCGGGAGCAAAGGGTCTCAGGACTGCCTGGGAGTGTCAGGGCCACTTCCTCCCAGTGCGTCCTTGGGCCCAGACCTGTGCTGGGTTCTGGGCCTCCACCCACCTGCCCAGGGCCCCGCCCCAGGTTACCTGTGCATGGTCATCCCGGGCAGCCAGGCCAGGCGGGGGCTCCTGAGACACAGGTCCATCTCATCCCCAATGCAGGCTAGCCGCAGGGCCACCTCGTCACTGTGGGGAGCAGGCTTGGCGGTCAGGGTGTGGCCGTGGTGAGGCCAGTGGCACCCAGCCCCGCCCAGCTGAAGCTTCTGGTGGGGCCGCGAGTGGCCCAGAGATGAGGGGCAGTGTCCGATCTGGGGCAGGCGGTGAGCCTTTCCGCATCCCTCCTGACTCCCACTTGGCTTTAAAGATGCCCTCGAGGTCCCACGCGTGGATGCATTCTGGGAAGCCAGTCACGCCGGCCACAGGGGTGCTGGTCCCGCCCCTCATGTGCCCTCGTGGCCGCCCTCTGGTGGGAGGATGGGGACTTTTGGGCATGGTCTGAGCCTCACGGGGTGGGCGGGTGCACACTGGTGCCTGCGGCGGCTGGGTGATCAGCTGGGCAGGCTCCGGGCAACCCGCCTGTGCACCCGCCCACGGATAAGAGAAGGCCCAGAAAACCTGGCGGCCTGATTTCCCTGCAGACTCCTGGGACGGCCCCGCCTGGTGGTGCTTGGAGGGAAAGCTGGACGACAGGAGGGCATGTTTGGGGACCCTGAGCCCCCTGGATGACAAAGGCCGGATTCCCACAGGGGTCTCAGCTTACCCCCTCCCTTGGTGGGGTGAGGGGACTCCAAGAACTGCCCCCCAGTCCCCAGTCCTGAAACTGCCCCTGCCTGGGCCCCAACCCTAAACCAAAACCCGGAGTGAGATGGAGGCTGGCCTGCCCCCCCGCACACATGCACTCACATACATGAAGACTAAACATCCCCCTCCTGGCTCCCTGCCTGGCTCAGGGTGTCTGGGCCCCAGCCCTGCCCTCTGGGTTTGCCACACTCCATCCTGTGACTGGGCGGTTTGGCTGGGAATTCCCAGGCAGAGGGGCCTCTCAGGGCCACCTGCTCAGAGGCCCGCCACCTGCCCAGGTCTGTGCTCCCTGCTCTGGGGTGGTGAGGACTGGGGGGGGTGTGGTGGGCCGGCAATCGGGGTGAGGACTGTGGCCCCATCTTTGTCACCCTGTGTGACCTCAGGAAACGCTGCCCCCCACACTCGTCCACTAATGGAGCAAGGAGTGGGGAGGGGCCACATGGTCTTTGGGTCCCGGGTCCCTCCAGCCCCAAACTCCCAACCAGCCGAGTCCCTACCTCCAAGACCTAATGACTAAAAATCCTGAGGCCTAAAGCAGAAATGAAACACCCAGAACCCTGGAGCTGCCCTCGGGCCTGTGCGGGCAGCAGCTCCGGTGGGGCCTGGCTGTCCTCTCCAGTTGAGGGTGGACACCGAGGCCAGCAGCCACCTGGTCTGCACCGGGGAAGAGTAAGTGTGCATGTGCTTCCTGCCGGGGGTGGGGGGCGGTGGCTGCCCCTGGACCCAGCTGGCAGAGATGGGCTCGGGCCCCACCTCTACCCTGGCCCCAGCAGGTCCTGCTGCCTCCAGGGGCCGTGCCAGTTCTGGGCAGATTCCTTCTTCCTGCCTCAGTGATTCCTTGAGAAACCACTGCGCTAATAGCCAGGGCCAGGAACTGTGTGGCTTCCTCTGGTCCCCCCAGTCCTGGTTTATAAAATGAGCCCCATATCCTTTGCCAGGCCTCAATGTGGGCTGCAGGTCAAGACGGGCCTCTGTCCAGCTCCCCAAGGCCAAAGGCTCGAGCCATTGTGACGGCGGTGCCCGGGGCCCATCTTGGGACTGTGAACATGCTGGACGCTGAGGGGTCCCTCTGTGAGTTGGTGTCAGCAGGGTAGGGGCCCCAGAGTCAGGTGGCGGTGCAAGGTGAAGTCACCTGGCCACCAGCCTCCAGGACCACACCCAGGGAATTTTCTTCCTTGGAGCCCTGCAGGGGACAGAGGGAGGCTGGCCATCTGCAGACGCTCCCGCCTTCACACAGGTCTGCTCTTCTACCCCACGCATGCCACTGAGACCTACCTGTCCTCGAGGCACCCCGAGGGGTCGGGATTCTCCTCGTTGTCCATGATGCTGAGAACCTCCAGGATCAGAGGGTCCAGGAGATGCTCGAACGGGAAGGTCTCCATGAGGAGGTCCGTGGAGACGGGTCTCACCTCAGACATTGCTCCTCTGGGGCAAAAAGACAGAGTATGAGTTGACCCCCAAACTACGCAGTGTGGGGCTCACTCACAAGACACCCCCTCCCCCTACTCTGCTGATCTGCTAAAGCCAATAACGCCCAACCCAGCTCGCGCAGGCGCAGATCCTGCCGCACACTGGCTGTGTGCCTCTGGGCCAGTCACCAAGCCTCTCTGTTCTCGGAAGGGAGGGACTTGGAGATGACTCGTAGGGGCCCTTGCTTCTTCTCTTCGTTGTAGAGTATAAATATGAGGCGATCTTTACCGCTGGTCCTCACCAGGCCAGCAGCCCCACTGGAAAACCCAGGCACCTGCTGCCAACAGAGGGGCCACCACTGGGCTCCAGACAGCAATTGGCTAGCACCACTCAGCCAGAGAGACGCTATTTTGTGGTGTTTGCTATTGAACAAGAAAGGCACAAAAGCGAAATGGAAACAAGTCATCCCAATCCAATCCCAGAGGAACCACTGCCAACTCTTCCCATCTCTCTGCAAAACACACAGGCACGTCACATGGGTTTCCAGAAGTGGGATCGCCCACACGTGGAGTCCTCTGTGGGCAGGTGGACAGCCACCTCTGTGGGCACGGCGCCCTCTGTGGGCAGGTGCAGCTCTTGTCCTCTCTGAGGCCCGCTCCCCCTGGCTCTTTGCTAACAGAACTCCAACTGTCTTTGGGGTGGCCCTGCGCCCTCCCTCACAGCCAATCGTGACCCTCCCCTTCGTCCTCGCTTCCCCAGCATTCCTTGCAGCTGGTGGCGGCGGTGTACCCCAGTTCTGCCCAATGATGTCTCAGGGAACCCAGACGTCGGGCTCAACACAGCCGGGCCAGCTGTCCCTTCTGGAGAGCTGCGGCAGCCAGCCAAGAGCGGCAGCGCAGGGAGGCAGGAGCGCCAGGCCTGCCCATCGCGCAGCGCTGGTGGCGAGAGCCACACTGCCTGCCTCTCGCTGTGTGTGAGGAAAAAACCCAGTGTGTTCACGTGGCCATCGAGTCTCCTGTTCCTGGCAGCCAAAGGCCTTCCCAGCTACTGTACCTGTGGATTCCCCAACATCAGTGAGTGTTTCGCTCATGATGGCGACTAGGATTCTGTGACCTGATTCACCAAAATTGGCCCCACACTGTCCCAACCAGCCCGTACCAAGTTTGCCACCCATGGTACCAAACAGCCTTAGGTCCGAGTATGATGATGATGATGAAGAGTGTGATCCCGGAACCTAATGACCCAGTTCGAATCCCAGCTCTGGCAGTTAGTAGCTGATGCCAGTTTCTCCATCTGCAAAACGCGCTTGATGAGCACCCCTCGCTGGGCTACTGGGAGGATGAAATAAAGGAATCCCCTCCAAGTACTCTGAACAGCGCCTGGCACGCAGTGACAGATAGGCAGACCCATTATGACCTTTGTACTTCAACCCAGCATTTCTCACAATACACCCTGGGTCTTCTACATTTTTAATTCTTCAGGGCTGCCCGCAAACTCCAGTAACTTACTGGACTTTTTTGTTCCGGGAGGACACTGTAGCTGGTGAAGTTCATGACTGAGCCAAGAAGGGACAGAGCCCCAAGTCTCCCACAGCCCAGTCCAGGGTGGACCAAAGTCCATCCCTGAAGTGGACCAACCAGGACACACAGGGCCACCCTGCTCCAGGGACACCCTGAGGCTAAACACAAGTGCCTGCTCACTAATTGCTCAGCATTAAAGTGAGACGCTGCAAATGCCAAAGGGGCTCAGGGCCCCTCCAGGTGTCTCGGGACTGACTCCAGGCAGGTTATTAACAGCGTCCAAAAGGCAGGCAGTGGATGAGCTGGGCCGCACTGTGACGTCATCAGCCTGGCAGGCACGGGCCGGGGCATTCTAGCCTTTTAGGGAGAAAGCGCAGAAGGACAGCACTGTTCATCAAGCTAGAGTTGGAGGAAAAAAGAAAAAATGCCCAGAACGTCTGTTGAGAATGAGCTGTTGGGAACTGAGAGATGTCTGCTTCAGCTTCCTAGGAGGAAAGTAGAAACGAGGTTAATCTGTTTCAGGTGGAAGCGCAGCTCTAACAGGGCTGGGGCTGGAGGCGGTCGGCAAACACAGTCACAACAGCCACAAAGAGCCCCACCGGTCAGGCCACACCTTCCCCCGTGGGCCGAGAAACTGTCAGGTCTGACCTAGTGGTGGGTGGAGGGAGATGGCCCCAGCAGCCCAGATGGGGGGAGGGGCTACCACCTGCAGGCAGTGTTAACCCTGCCTCAGCCTCGGCAACTCCAACTCCCCTGAACCAGCCGGCCAGGGCACAGGGACACTCTACAGGGAGGGTCCTGGTGGCATCTGTATGAGCTGTAAATACCCAACAGATACCATTCTGGGGGCAAAAGTCTTGACACATTTGTCACAGGGAGTGCTTGGTAGCAATTAAAAAGGATGAGGTAAACCTAGATCAATCTGCAATGTAAAGATGTAAGACAATTGTTTACACAACATTGGGTGACCAATATTAGCGTGGTTTGAAGTCACTTTTGTAGATCAGACAAGCCAGAGATGACTTGACTTTCATGGTCTTTTTTTTTTTTTTTTTTTTAAGGAGACAGGGTCTCACTGTGTCACCCCAGCTGGAGTGCAGTGGCCTGATTATAGCTAACTGCAGCCTGGAACTCCTGGACTCAAGCGATCCTCCCACCTCAGCCTCCCGAATAGCTGGGACTTCAGGCATGCACCACACCATGCCTGGTCAAATTTTTTTTTTTTTTTTTCGGTAGAGACAGGGTCTCACTATGTTGCCCAGGCTGGTCACAAACTCTTGGCCTCAAGCAATCCTCCTGCTTCAGCCTCCCAAAATGTCGGGATTACAGGCGTGAGCTACTGCACTGGGCCTCATCTGCCTTTTATTAAATAATTAAGGTGTTGTGTTTTTGCATGGGACGTACTGACATTGCAAACCCCCTTTCCCAGGCCAAACTTGGACTCCACAGGAGCCCCGTGGCACTGACCGACAGCCAAGCACCCGTTTGGGACAAGGACACCGTCCTCCTTGTCCATCTTGCTGCGCTGGTGGCTTGTTAGGAGGGGAGGAGTGTGGGGTGCTGACGCTCGCACAGAAGGTGGGATGCACGGGGTCCAAAATCCCACACTGGAGTCTCTGCCACCTTCCAAGGCCAGCAGGACTTCAGCTTGGGAACTCCCAACAGTAAAGGAAAAGAATGAAACTAAGCAGACAACGTGCCAGGGGGTCTTCCCCAGCCCTGCCCAAGTGACCCTGGATAGCCACAGATGAAGAACATCTGTTAACTTCAATAAAAGGTAGGAACAGGGAACTATAAGCAGACAAGAACATTTATGTAGAAAATCAAAGAGATCGGGACACTGCTATGGTTTGAACGTATCCCCCTAAATTCATGCGTTGGAAAATTAATCCCAATGCAACAGTGTTGAGGCAGAACTTTTAAGCAGTGACCAGGTCATGAGTGCTCAGTTTTCAGGAATGGATCCATGCAGGGGCAAGTTGTTGGGGGCATGGGTTCAGGCCGGCCGTGGTGGGTCACGCCTGTAATCCTAGCACTCCGGCCCGAGGCGTGAGGATTGCTTTGAGGGCAGGAGTCTGAGACCAGCCTGAGCAAGAGACCCCGTCTCTACTAAAAAATAGAAAAAAAAAAATAACCAAGGCAACTAAAAATAGAAAAAATTATCTGGGCATGGTGACACAAACCTGTAGTCCCAGCTACTCGGGAGGCTGAGGCAGGAGGATCGCTTGAGCCCAGGAGTTTGAGGTTGCTGTGAGCTAGGCTGACGCCACGGCACTCTAGCCTGGGCAACAGAGTGAGACTCTGTCTCTCAAAAAAAAAAAAAAAAAAAAGTCTAAAATTCCATTAAAGCACATTAAAGACCCACGTAAATGGAGAGACAGACAAATCTTCATGGGTGAGATGCCGTGACACTGCATAGATTGCAGGCAGTGTGTGTGTTAGGTGGCATTTAAGGAAACTTTGGCTGCCTGGCAGGAGGGGGGAAGTGGCGTCTATGCAAACAGTCATTTCCCTGGGAAAGCAGTCCCAGCCCTCCTTTGCATCTGCCCCCTCCTTCCCCTTCCCTCCCCAGCTGAAAGGCAACCTCCCAATGCTCCTAGAGACCCCTGCCTTCCCCCCAACCCCAGGCAAGGGCCACAGTGGGCCCCCAGCCACTGTGAGCTGAGCTGTGAGCTGGACTAATCCTCACCTTCACCCACTGTCCTAACATCCCTCCCCTGGCAGACACTCCTAGAGTCCTTGTGCACTACAGAGGAAGGGGGTCCTAGCCACCAGGGCGGGCGCTCTGCCAGGGGTCTGCAGAGCGGGCCGGAGTCAGTCACCCACTCTCCACCTTCCTCTAAGACCCTTCCAGCCCCTGCCGCCCTCCCTGTCTGAGTGGGTCTGGGACAGATGCCAGTCTCACCTTGGGTTAACAGCCTAATCCAACCACTCCCCCGTCTTGTCCCTGGGCCTCAGTTTCCCCATCTGTTGTCAAATGAGGATAATGATCCCAAACTAAGGAGGCTCCATTTCCAGGCAAGAACTAGCAGTAATGCCTCTCTATTATAATCCCAGCTGCTGTTTGGAACATTACTACGGGCAGGCAGTGATTAAGCCTCGTATTTGGATTAACGCATTGAATGTTCAGCGTTGCCCTCGCATCGCAACCTGAGCCTTCAGCCACCTCGCCGCTGGGCCCGGCCAACTTGGTATGGAGACAGCTCCATCGTTAGCTGGGCCTGGGCTGGCCGTGGGGCTCTAGACAGAGGGAAAACAGTGTGGCCAAGGAGCTGGGGATGGGGGCCCTGCCCAGGTGGGGGCCCTGCAGCTGCTCCTCCTACAATGGCCTCTCCTGGCAGCCCTGCCGACCCAGTCCCACCAGCTCCTGCCTAGCCCTGGCTCCAGGTTCTTTGCTAGGCTCTCTTCAATCTGACCCCCACGAGGGGGCAGTCTCACACCTGACCCTGTCACTGCGGTTTGGCTCTCAGACCCCTTGAAAGTCATGCCACATCC